TGCCCCAGCCACCTCAAGAGAAGGCTCACGATGGCGGCCGCTACTACCGGGCCGATGACGCCAACGTGGTCCGTGACCGTGACCTCGAGGTGGACACCACCCTCAAGAGCCTGAGCCAGCAGATCGAGAACATCCGGAGCCCCGAAGGAAGCCGCAAGAACCCTGCCCGCACCTGCCGTGACCTCAAGATGTGCCACTCAGACTGGAAGAGCGGTGAGGCCCCGCCCCTGCTGTGCCCTTCCTCCTCCCCCTCGTCCCTTCTCCTCCTGCCGGGACAGGGCTGAGCCCCGAGGGGCCCAGTGTCCCACGTGTGCCCCAGCTGCCACCCATCCCCTGATTCCGTCCTGCTCCGCCCCCCTGCAGGAGAATACTGGATCGATCCCAACCAAGGCTGCAACCTGGATGCCATCAAGGTCTTCTGCAACATGGAAACAGGAGAGACCTGCGTGTACCCCACTCAGCCCCACGTGGCCCAGAAGAACTGGTACATCAGCAAGAACCCCAAGGACAAGAGGCACGTCTGGTACGGCGAGAGCATGACCGACGGATCCCAGGTGCGGAAGCTGGCCCTGGAGCCACGCTCATAGGATGGGGCAGGAGGGATGCTACTTCTGGCTGGGGGAGGGGTGCACTGGGGCGCTGTCAGAGGACCCCAGGGAGGGAGGCCAGGACTAGAGGCTCCAGCATGGTCACTCACTCGCTTCTCCGACGCCCTCCCCCCACCCCTGCAGTTCGAGTATGGCGGCCAGGGCTCCGATCCTGCCGATGTGGCCATCCAGTTGACCTTCCTGCGCCTGATGTCCACCGAGGCCTCCCAGAACATCACCTACCACTGCAAGAACAGCGTGGCCTACATGGACCAGCAGACTGGCAACCTCAAGAAGGCCCTGCTCCTCCAGGGCTCCAACGAGATCGAGATCCGGGCCGAGGGCAACAGCCGCTTCACCTACAGCGTCACCTACGACGGCTGCACGGTAAGTCCCTGGCCTCAGTCCCTGGCCGGGGCCCCTCTCCGGGCTCTGGTACTCCCGGCGCCCGCCGTGGCTCCCCCTGGTGACCCCCATTGTCTCCCCCCCACCCCAGAGTCACACCGGAAACTGGGGCAAGACAGTGATCGAATACAAAACCACCAAGACCTCCCGCTTGCCCATCATCGATGTGGCCCCATTGGACGTTGGCGCCCCAGACCAGGAATTTGGCTTCGACGTTGGCCCTGCCTGCTTCCTGTAAACTCTCTCCCACCCAACCTGGCTCCCTCCCACCCAACCCACTCGCCCCTGACCCTGGAAACAGACAAACGACCCAAACTGAACCCCCCAAAAAGCCAAAAAAACGGGAGACCATTTCACATGGACTTTGGAAAATATTTTTTTTCCTTTGCATTCATCTCTCCAACTTAGTTTTTATCTCTGACCAACCGAACATGGCCAAAAACCAAAAAAGTACATTCAACCTTACCAAAAAAAAAAAAAAAAAAAAAAAAAAAAACCAAAAAAAAAAAAAAAAAAAAAAGAATAAATAAATAACTTTTTAAAAAAGGAAGCTTTGGTCCACTTGCTTGAAGACCCATATGGGGGTAAGTCCTTTTCTGCCCGTTGGGCTTATGATACCCCAACACTGCCCTTTCTGCTCCTTTCTCCATCCCTCCTTGGGGCCTCCCCTCCACTGCTCCCCAAATCTAAGTCTCCCCCAAAAGACACAGGAAACAACGCATTGTCTGCCCAGCAACCAAAGGCAATGCTGAAAACACCCAAGTGACCCCCGCAGTCCCAACCCACTCCCCTCACCCAGCAACCCCCAAATCCTGGGGGGACCGGAGGTGCGCAGACTACCAAAGGAGCCTCACCATCTGACGTCCCCGTGGCTCGTTGGGGCGACACTCCCCTCTTCGTTTTGGAGGGGGCCACGCTGGAGGACCATGGGCCCCTCGCTGCCTGCCGGGTTTGGAGGAAAGTCAGGAGGGGCCGGGACAGAGCAGAAGGAACCATCGGATTCCTGCGGGGACTCGTGTCAATCCCCCACGCGACAGGGCTGGGTGGGAGAAACTGCTCTGTTGCTCATGTAATTGTGTTGCTTAAGGACTACCTCTTCTTGTCTTTGTGTCACCGGGCAACTGCGTGGGGGCGGGGATGGGGGCAGGGTGGGAAGGGCTCCCCATTTTATATCAAAGGTGCTACATCTCTGTGATGGGGTGGGGTGGGGAAGGGGAAGGAATCACTGGTGCTATGGAAGTCGAGACGCCCCACCCCCAGGCCAGCAAATGTTCCTTTTTGTTCAAAGTCTTTTTTTATTCTTTGGGGTTTTTTTTTTTCCCTTGCGGATGGGGACTCGTGAATTTTCTAAAGGTGCTATTTAACTTGGGGGGAGAGAGTGTCGCAGCTCTGCAAGCGCGCTCCTTCCCACCCCCTCTCCACCCCCCTGGCCGCCTCTGTCTCTCTCCACCTCTCTCTTCTCTCTCTCTCTCTGAAACCCCCTCCTCCTCAGCTGCACCCCATCCTCACAGCCTCTCTGTCCTGTGTCCTCTCTCTGGGTTCCAGAGCACAACTTCCCAAAGCACAAAGCAGTTTTTCCCCCTAGGGGTGGGAGGAAGCAGGACTCTGTACCTATTTTGTATGTGTATAATAATTTGAGATGTTTTTAATTATTTTGATTGCTGGAATAAAGCATGTGGAAATTACCCAAATCTATCGGTAGTGGCCTCCTAATTTTCTGCCCTGGAGTCTGGGGAGGGGAAATCTGGGGAAGGAGGGGCTTTGGGGGGGTGGGGGGGTGGGGGTGGGCTCCCCTGTTTCTTACCCCTTCCCTCCTCCTCCTCACCTAGCACCCTCCACAGGCTCCCCCTGCCTCTCACCTCTCTTACGCCTTATCCCTTCCCCTACCTCAAGCGGCCTTCGTGTCTCCCAAATGCCCTTCTTCCTTACAGAGCTGTACAGGCAACTGACACGTGTGGTAACACGCGGGCGTGCAAACACGCGCCTCCCTTCAGATCCCGGGCCGACCGAACCCCAGGCCCACCCTCCCTCAACGCCGCCACCGTCTCCGCTCCCGGCAGGCAGCCTGCAGGCTTGCGGGGACTGCGGCCCACGCGTAGCTGAGGGAGGTGGGACCGCCGTGGGGAGTACCTGGGAGCCCCTCATCCGGCCTCTCCTCCCTCCTGCTCACTCTGAGCCCCCTCCCCCCGCACCCCCAAGGAGCAACAAGCAGGCCAGCTGAGGGGAGTCCTGAGCCCACCCTGAGGGCCTGTGAGGAGAGAGAGGAAGGCCTCCCGCTCCAGGGTTCCTGGGGAAGGAGGCAGGGAGCCTCCCTGGGGCCCTTGGAGAGCTGCCATCAAGGCACTGACAAGGTGCTGTCATGGAGGCGACAGGTGCCGACCCTGCTGAGCATGGGTCCCTCTTGGCCTTCTAAGTCCCTGTCACACTTGCGTGCGGGGAGGCCTGACAGGTCGTTTGGCCCAGGCCCCTGCCTCCTGCCCATTCCTTATCCTTTAAAAAACAAAACAAAACAAAACAAAACAAAACAAAACTTGCTTCCGCTTCTTCCTCCTTCTCCCTCCTTTCCCTTTTCTCTCACCCCCTGCCTGCCTGTGAGCCTGAGGCCCCTGGAAGGAGGGTGACTGGTCAGCTCCCCAGTCGTAGGGAAGGGGGACAGCCGAGAGCAGTCACGGGGACACAGGGGTAGCCAGGGAGTCAGAATGCTGGAGCAGACTAGGCACCCAGAGATGTGGAGACAGGGAGGAGGCGAAGCTGTGTCCCCGCCCCACGCAGGGTCTGGGGGCCAACCTTCAAAGGCCAGAACGGCCCACGTCCCTCCCTCGGGTCTCAGAGAAATGGACAAGTCTACGGAGGCCATCGTCTGCAATACTAATGCCATCACCGTCATTAAGTGGCCATGATGATTAATTGCGCCTTTTAATAATTCATCGTTAGCACTTCTACCACAGTCTGGGCAGCGTAGAAAGGGAATTAGTCTAAAGTGGTTAAGAAAGTATGACATGCAAATGAAGGTTTCTTCATAGGCAAACTACCCGACCTTCCATGCTGATTGATGATGGGTGACTGCTTGATAACCCTCATCCACCGGGTGGGGTTGCATCCTGGCTGGCTCAGCCCCTGTCCCCTCCCCCCATAAGGCAACCAGGGTCCCCTCCCTTGTCCACACTTGTCACACTAGCCAAAAAGGGTGACACCAAACTCCCACATATGCACCCCACTTTCCACTTCCAGGCCTCTCTTTATGCCTCTTCCTCTGCCTGAGCTGATTGCCGTCATCTATGCCTGCTTTGTCCCCCAGCCTCCAGGCCACGCTCAAACATCTCATGTGTCTCATGTCCCCTCATTCTCCTGAACGACCCAAGCCCGAGCCACCCCCCTCTGAGTTTCCAAAGCTCTCCGCACCGGCAAAAAATTTATCTCAGCCTTACCAGCAGGCACGGCCCCGGGGGGGCTGACCGAGGCCGGACGTCAGGTGTGCCCTGCAGGGCTGGGCACTGGGGCCTAGGCCACGACTTTCTGCAACCACGAAGTGCACTCTGCACCATCCACTACCACAGCCACTAGCCACACATGGCTAGGGAGCCCCTGACATGTGGGTAAGGGCCCCCGAGGAACTCAGGTTTAAATTGTGTTGAACCGTAACGAATTTTAACAGCTGCAGGTGGCCAGCGGCCACGACATCTCTGGACGAATAGAGTGAACATGCCTCTTGCTTTGCGTGCACAAATCGACACATGGGGACTTGGGTGCGTGTGTCTGCGGGCACATGAGGGGACAGCGACTGGCAGGGCCGTGGTGGCAGGTCTTGTGTGGCTGCGTTGTGCCGGGCAGCTCTGTGCCCGTCACGTGGTGTGAGGAGGCCAGGACAGGAGGGAAGGGGGACAAAGAGGCCATTGTACCACATTCCCAAACTCAAGCCCTCCTTTCTGCTGACATCACAGCCCCCTCCGAAGAGCTTCCAGACCCGGGCTGCCCCCTGTGTCGTGGCACAGCACCGGCTGTCCCGAGGGCCGCTCCACGGGACTCACGTTTGTCCTCCCTGTGACAAGATGGGCCACATTCCGATGGCTGATTTCTCAGTCAACATCAGGTGGAAAATTCTAGAAAAATTCGCGTGGATTTTTTACTGTTGCTGCTCTCTCCGAATCCCGGGTGCTTTTGGTGGTGTGAGCCCATCTCCTGGCAGGATATTTTTATGACCGAAATATGGCGGATTCCCCCTCCTTTGGGGGGGGTCAGCTCTTTACTCCTCAGCTGCCCAGGTGCCTACTTTCCTGGATGGACGTGAGTGAGCTTGAGGAGGGAAGAGGCTGGGAGAGGGGGGTGCTGAGCTGAAGCGTGGGAGCCTTGGGCAAGGGGACACATGTGTAGAATGGGAGTGGGGGAGGGGGCTGCACGGGGGCCGTGAGCGTGGGAGGCTATGTGAGTGAGTGAGGCGGGTGCCACCCAGCCAACCCGGCATGGATGAGAATGTGTCTCTCTCTGATGCCCACCCGCCCATGAACACATGGGTCCGTGCTCCAAGGGGCCCTACGCACGTGTGGGTGTGTTGGGGGTGGATGGGAGGGGTCTGTATATGTGGGAACCGCTTCCCCACACATGGCAACGGAAGAGACGCCATTTGAACTGAGAACGTAAGGGTCTAGCCTTGGGGACGTGTGTGTGCATAGGCATGACAGAGGGCAGAGGAGGGCCTGTGGGTGAATGGGGACAGCTGAGCAGGGAGGAGCAGGCAGAAACCAGGAAAGCCTGGGTATGGGGGAGACCATTGTCCTAAAGTCCCAGGGCCAGTGGCGCCCCGGCGCTGGGGAACAGCTGTGTCCCTGTTCTCTTCCTGCTGTGCTGCCAGCGGGCACCAGGTAGAGCTGAGAGATGTCCGCGGACCGGGAGGCAAGACCCCGGAAGAAGGATGGCCCTTATCTGGCAGAGCGAGCAGACCCTTACACGCCCGGAGGTGTGATGCCTTTTCAGAGCATGCGCATGGTCTGGAGGGAGGGGAGTCTGGTGCGAGCAGATGCTGGCGAGAGTGGGGTTTTCTCTGCACAAGAAAGGGGGAGGCAGGGGAGGATGGGGTGGGATGGGGACCAAAGTGCATTTTAGAATAAGGAGGCCCCGTGTTCAAGTTCTAGGTGACTTTACTGCTGTGGGGCAGACCCTCCCCCACCCCCGACCAACTCCTCAAGACTCTGGAATACTCAGGCCTGCACAGAGGTCTGGTATAAGGTGTTCTAGAAGGAGCAAGGGAAGGGGCCGAGTTCTGGGTGTGGGTCAGTCTGGAGTGGAGATAAAGGAAGAGCCAAGAAACCAGCGCCACCCAGTAAAAGCACAACAGGGAGCCACATCTGTAATTTTCTTTTTTTTTTGCTGCCATATGAAGACCATCAAAAGAAATGGGTGAAGTTAATTTTAATAATGTATTTGATTTAACCCACTGTACCCCCGAATATCATTTCATTGGGCAGCAGATCGGTGCCAGGAAGCGTGGGAATTGCAGCCTCTGCCCCAAACTTGCAAGCAGAGTGGGAACCCTTCATGGGGCACAGAATTTAGATTGAGCTCATGTAACCTGGGCCTTGGGGGGTCAGGGGACCCCACAGGCCCCTGGTTTGGGGGTGATCATGCGAATGCTTGTGTGGAATGGTGTCTCCCCATCCCTGGGCGCCTCCCAGATGCCAGGCACTCATCTCATTTTCACAAATCCTTACAACAGCCCAAGGCGCTTATGATTAATGTCTTATGAGTAAACTAACCGTCAGAGCCGACATCCGAGTCCTGCTCACTCTGACCCCACATCCCAACAACACACCCTGCAAATTGCATGTGTGTGTGTGTGTGTGTGTGTGTGTGTGTGTGTGAAGAGTAAGGGAGACACACGCCATGTGGGGACTGAGGCCGGCTGTAGGCAGGACACTGTGGCCCCCGCTCTGACAGAGCTCCTCCTCACGGATTGAGAGGTGGTGAAGAAACATCTAGAGACAAGCCAGGTGGGGCTCTGTTGAGGGTGAAGGTACGTCATGGGGCACTGCTGGCCGTGGGACTGGCGGAGCCCAGCATGGAGCAGGCTGTGAGGCAGGGTCTCAGGGTGGGGGGGGGACACTGGGGCTACTTTCCCTTGGCTCTGGAGGGTGAGGCATGACCCCCGCTGGGATCTTGCCCCTCCGTGAGAAGAGAGGGCTGAGTACGTCCATGCCCTCCCCATGTGCCGCTGGAGGGGGGGGGTGCACGCGCACACACGCGTGTGCCCAGGCACGGTTCAGTGTCCTCTGCAGTCACGCCATCCTCCCAGCTACTTGTCTGGGCCACTTCCTCCCAGGCCGGCAGCCAGGTTCCCGTGTGCTCCTTGGAGCCAAGATCGCAAGGCAAAGCCGGGGAGCACAGGGAAGCGAGGGGCTGGCCTGGAGCTCCCCGTCGCTGGCGGGTGCGCAGGAAGGGCACGGAGGCCAGAGCTGGCCTGGCTGCGAGGGCGGGCGCACGGGCACCTGGAGGGGAGGATGGCCCCTTCCTCCAGGGGGCGGGGCCCGAGGAGGAGCACCCCAGAAACCAGGCTGGCAGCTCAGAGCCTCCCACCTGAGCGGATGCTGTGCGACTTCAGGTTTCTGCCAGACGAGGTGCCTCAGGGGAATGACGCATGAGGAGGCAGAAGCACTGTCTTATCAGCGGACCCTCGTGGTTGGGAGATGGCCACCCCAACAGGCATTCATTCAGTCAACAAACATCTACTGAGAACCTCCCAGGTGCCCGCACTGCGCCTCTGCCTGCCTCCGCAGGTGCTTGCGGGGATAACTAACCAGCTAACTAACCAGCTAACTAACTAATCGACTAACCAACGGGTGTGGGATGCCCGGCAGGCAGGGGAACCGAAACATAACTGTAGAAACACGCGCAATGGCCTTGCTCACCAGCTTTGCCCCGAGAGGAGGAGTGACTTCCCTAAGGGCTCTGAGCACGCCCAGACCTGAGCATTCCCTCGGAACATCTGCCCCCCGCCCCAGCACCTACTGTGTGCAGCTCTGCCCCCGTCCCCAGTGGGCACACAGAATCCTGCCCTCCCGGCGCGTATGTCTGCGGTGGGAAGCCGGCCTGGGACAAGGACCCAGACACACACAGCATAGGCTCTCAGAGCACAGGGAGGGGGCTGGGTGCCCTAGAGGCAGGGGAGGGGGGGACGGAGGGGTTTCTCTGAGGTGCTGCCATTTGAGCAAAAACCAAAACAAGCGCGGTGAGGGGGCAGTTCCGTGGATGGGGGCGGGGGCGCTGGGAGATCCAGGCCAAGGCCTTGAACAGGAGCGAGCTGTGAGGGAGTGTGGCTGCGGTGGGCGTGGGAAGAGTGGGGATGAGGTCAGAGGGCTGGGCCGGGCCAGCACGGCCGGTCAAGAGCGTGGATCTTATTCTCAGTGTGACCGGCCGGCGCCGGAAAGTCCAAAGCAGGGGGCGAGATTCCAGATCTGATCTTTCTCCTGCTGGAGCCCAGATTACAGAGGCAGGAGGGGCAGGGAGCCAGGGGAGGCTGTGCGGGGGGTCCAGGAGCCGGATCCTGTTGCCACACCGGGAAGGTCAGAGCACCGGGAAGGTCAGAGCCAAGGCCGCTGGAAGTGGACGGATTCAGGACACGCTTGAAGGTGCGGATTCCGGGGAATGAGAGAAAGCGCGCGGGGGGTCCAAGGGCACCCTCACCACCCCCTTGCCTATACATTTCGGACCATGTGGACGCAGTATTCACAGACCCAGCCGTCCTTGGGGATCCCTGGCCCAGGAGGCACCTCCGTTTAGACTGGGGGCTGCCCTCCCCATTGGCCCCCAAGCTCTCCCCACCGACTCCCACTATCCCCCCCCCATCTCTGGGGAAGGGAAAACCCCAAGTGAGGCCCACGGGTTGGTTGAGAATCAGCTCCAGGACAGTGGGTAGATCCCAGGCTGAGTGGGATTTAGAGGCCACCGTGGCCCATGTCTTGCCCTTGTTTGCATTTTCTTGGAGACGCCATCTAGAGCCAGGGGCAGTAGGCAGGGGCCTGGTGGCCTGATGTGGTTGTAGCCAGCCACCTGGGAAAAACGAGCTCGGGCCTCTTCCCAACTAGCCGAGCTCTCCAGAGCCAAGCCGGTGAAACTCAGCTCAAGGGTTCCAGGTCGTGCAGCATCCTCTGGACCTTGGCCCCTGGAAAAGCCCACTAGGAAGGGGATCATTGAGCCCGGGCTCAGGGTCCTGTGTGCCAACCCCTCTCTCCATGAACAGGCTGGTTTCCCTCGCAACATGAGTTACAAAGGGGCTCTTCCCCTAGGGGATCTCGACAGGTAAGAGCCTTTTGCTTCCAGAACCCTTCAGCCCTCCAGAAGGCAGGGTGGAGGTGGACATACCAGGTTCTAATCCAAAGTGCCACTTGCCTGCTCTGTGAGCTTGGGTAAGTTGCTTACTCTCCCTGGGCCTCCGTTTCCTCATCTATAAAATGGGGATAATGATGCATCACTGTCAGGTTCACGTGAGGATTAAGACCAGGGCCACGGGGAGCAGGTCCCTCCCTCTTCCTTCCAGAGAGGTTGAGAAAACAGCAAAATGCCAAGAGTCCGAAGGGCAGGCTGGCAGCCCCCGGCTGACTCCGCGGGCTCCCAGGAGGCAGAAAGGGAAACCAAGGAAGCAACTGCTGGTGGGAGGCTGCTGAGAAGAAGGTGCTGGTAGCAATAGGTGAGCAGCGCAGCAGCTCTTTATTTCAGGGAGGTTGTGACCTAAGACGCCCTCACCTCCCCGCTGCCGTCTCTCTGCTCATTCCAAGCCTGGGAGCTGTGAGGCCAGGAGCCGGAATCAGGAGGAAGGATGTGGCCGTGGGCCAGCTGCTCTGTGCATCGGGAGAGAAAGGATGACGCCTGGTCTGGACCGGGAACCGCAGAGGGAAGGGGTGAGGGGCTGTGAGGCTCAGGCCCTGGTCCTCTGCCCTCCTTGCCACCCCGGACCTCTGACCCCGAGGGTTTGGCATTGGGGGGCATAGCCCCGGCCCTGCTGAGCACCCCCACCACCGGTGCCCAGAGGAGCGGGCAGGCCTGTGTGCCCCTCCCCTGGCCCTCGCCCTCCCCACCCTCTGCCCCAGCCTTGAGACGGAAGCCTTGTTCCCAGAGATGAGGCCGGCACTGCGCGGCCAGACGCACCTGGGTGTGCCCTCAGCGCTGGTCCAGGATGAGGGGCACCTGGGCGCTGTCCACCTGGGGCGGCAGCCGCTCGCCCGTGCGCACGTTGAACATGGGCAGCGTGGAAAGCGGCCGGGGCACCTCTCGGCTGGAGGCCATCTGCCGGAGCTCCTCCGTGTTCCCGCGGATTGTGCAGTGGTGGACCATCTGGATGCTGGGGGCGCAGGGCCAGAAGAATCGTCGGCTCTGGGACTCAGCCCTTCTGGGGTGCAGCGTGCCACTGCCTCTGAGCCACCCTGCCGTCTCCCCCCCCACCCCGGGGTGTAGGGGGAAACTCACACACACAATGGGTGAGGAGAGGGGACAAACGGGAAGGTCTTTGGTGACAGCTCGGTGTCCAGTAATGGAGGCATAGGTCGTGGGTATAGACAGCCTGGGTTCAAAGCTGTGTGGCCCTGGCAAGTTGCTTCACCACCCTGTGCCTCAGTTTCCTCAACTGTAAAATGGGGATACTGATAGAACTACCTCCTAGCGCTGGAGTAGGAATTAGAGGAGAAAAGCATTTAGAAAAGCGCCTGGAGTGTGGTAAGCGCTTCTGAGATGCTAAGACAGGAAGAGATACCCACAGTGGATGTGTATTCCCAGAGGATGGTGTTTGCTGGGCTTTATGTTCTGAGGACCCTGTAGGACCCTTCTAGCACTCAGCTCCCTCCCCAAATAGTCTCTCCTACCACTGACCATCCAGTGCTCCCCGCCTCATCCCTGTCTTAGTCTGGCGAACCCACCCCCTCCATCTCTTCCCCCTCCCCCTTTTGCTCCAGCTGTCTCCTGCCTGGCCTTGACATTCTTCTGGCTCCTCCCATATAGCCTCCCCTGCCTTTGTACCTTGACCCCTCCCAACCGGCAGGCTCCTTGAGGCCTGCACCAGGCTCCGAGCTCAGTGGGCCTGAAATCCCCGCAGCCATCGGGAAGTTCTCTCTGAACTCTAGCCCCAGTTTCTTGTCAGAAGGCTCAGCCTTATTCCCACTTGGCGGTCTCAGGAACTTTCTGCTGTCTGGGGCAAGCTTCAGTTCATTCTGAGAAGGAGGGTAGCACCATGTAACCAGGCACGAAGACCGGCTTTGGGCTTGGGTGTGACTTCTACTACTTAGTGGCCGTGTGACCTTACGCCACTCACTTAACTCCTCTGTGCCACGATGGCCTCGATTGTAATGCAGTTGCTGAACTAATTAAATGAGTCAATACAGGGAAAACAGATACCTCCTGGTCAGCATCACCCAAGTGGTAGCTAATATTACGGAGAGCCTGCCATTGTTATCTTCATCATCAGCGCCGTGTTATTACAGTAGGGCACACTATTGTCCTCAGCCCCCCACCCCCACCCCGTAAAGGGACGTTTCCTAGCCCCTTTCCACGAACCCACCCGCATTTGTGAGTCCAGCCTGGAGGTCTTTTCCCAGGTGACTGGTCGACTGGTCACCAGGTGAAACAGCAAGAACCTTTCATCACAAACAATAAAGGGGTGGGGGCCCTAGACAGGGCAGAAGCTACCCTACTTACCTCTGGGTGACAGATCAAATGGGGGAGAGGCAGTGATGCCCACCCCTGTCCAAGCCTCAGCTAACGGACACCAACACCCACTAGAACCTGAGAGAATAGCCTACAGGGCAGGCTCTCGAGCTTTATGCTGAATGGGCCACACTCCTCCTTGGGGGCGAGGGAGTAGGACCGAGTCCTGTCTGGTTGGCGGGAGGAGGTGGAGCCACCCTAGCAGGCCAGGGGCGGATCGAGATGAGCTCTTGAGTCTGGAATTTGGCAAGCAGAGCCGTCCAAAACACAATTTTCCATTCCCAGGCAAAGGGGAGGCTGAGGGGGGAAAGGAAGCTAGAAGCGTGTGGCTGCTTCGGGCTGGAGGCAGCTGGGCAGGTACTGCCCTGGATAGGGAAAGAGCCTTGGTTAACGGGTCCCCTCCCCGCCCCCAGCCCCACATCTGGGTCTCATTACTTTGGCAACACACACAGGTGGAAAATGTTCCGGGGAATGTTTTTCCAGAGCAGGAACGGAAGCCAGACCCGCGCTGCCTTCCCCCACAGCCCTTCCACATCAGCACCTGGACAGACGGGCGAAGGGGCAGGGAGTCCTACGCACATGCACACGCACACACACGCACACACACTCCACCACCAACACACAACGCTCAAGCCCTGTCTCCGGGACACACAGACCACATGAGAGGCTCAGGCTTGAGGACTTTGGGGCCAGCAAAATCTGATACAGACAGCAGAACCCACAATTTGTGGGTGCGTTTGAAAAAATGGGAGACACTGAATGAGCACAACTACCAGTTGAATTTGTAGAAATGGATCAACACAAAATCCAAGCCAACAAGGTCTGATAAGGCGTGTAGTTACACCTGGTTATTGATTCCAGACTGATGAAGGTTTTCCTGATACACGGACCCAGGAAAGCTGGCCGTTGGTAAAAATAACTGGTCGGAAAGAGAATTTCTGTGATGGCAGAAGATGTAATTGGTCAAATTTGGCACCAGCCCCAAAAAATTGAGGAATGAAATCTTCCTTGAAAAACTTACATGGAAAATCCCCCATCTCTATGGGAAGAAATTCTATCAAATAAAAATGAGAATAAGGGAGGACAAAAGAGTCTTTCCATTGCTTTGTGATCAAAGACGATCAAGGAATCAAATCCACCTAGGTGAATTGAGGAATTACATTTCTGTTCACTCGGGAAAATATTTTCCCCATAAAAATCCACCAGTGTTGATGGGGCGCCTGGTGGCTCAGTCGGTTAAGCGTCTGACTCTTGATTTCAACTTGGGCCATGATCTCATGGTTTGTGAGTTCAAGCCCTGCTGACAGCACAGAGACTGCTTGGGATTCTCTCTCCCTCTCTCTCGGCCCCTCCCCTCCTCTCAAAATAAATAAACTTTAAAAAATTCACAAATGTTGGTGTGATTCTGATTCTAAAAATGTTTGTACTCCTCAGCCCAATGGGTTGAGATGGTGGGGTCAAAATGGTGGGTTTGGAACGGGGCGGGGGGGCATTCGTTTAGAAACACGCATACAGTGCACGGCCCCACCATGTGGGAGCCACCCATCCGCTCACATCACCTCAGCCCTTTCTTCCCAGGGCACCTGGCTGTTGGATGCCCACACTCTCTGGCAGCTCCCTCTTTGCCTCCCAGGAGGGAACAGTGGGGCCATTGTGACCCTCCCAGGATTCTGGTGGCCTCACAATGTCCCCCTGAGGTCACCACAGAGGTAACCTTGCTACCGCCTGTACCTGAGTCACAAGTCCGTGAGGCCAGCCGGGGGTGATAATCCTTGGTCCCTCCTTCTGGCCACCCAGGGAAAGGCTTGGGCTGGAGCCCCCAGGAGCGGAGACTCCCCTCACCCACCGAGGAGGAACCCAGGGGAGACTTCCAGCCGCCACCCTGGAGGTCCTTGCGTCTAGCTCCCTTCACCCGCCCCAGGGAGAGATACAGAAAGACACTTCGCTGCCTCCCCCATCTGCACCCTTGGCCTCGAACCCTGGGCAGGGTGTGGACAGGCAGGCCAGCCCATCCAGAGCCCCTGGCCAGAGGGAGACTGGGCGCCGGGCCAGCCCCAATGTCCACCGGAAGCCTAACATGTCCAAGGTGATCCTGGGCGTTGTGGCGGACAAGGGGGCGCACGGCCGCGTGAGTCTGGCCACCCTGAAGAAGGCCATCGCCACCACCGGCTACAACATGACCCGAAGCGGCTGGCGCTTAAAGCGAGTGCTCAAGGGGCTGGTGGACAAGGGCATGCTCAAGCAGGTGACCGGCAAGGGGGCCTTGGGCTCCTTCCGCATTGGCAATAAGGATGCCTCCAAGGTCAAGTTCAGGTCCCAGAGCCGGGGCCGGTCTGGGCAGCGCCAGTCTGGGCGGCGCCGGCCTGGACAGCGCCGACCTGGCCTGCGCCGGCCTGCACAGCGCCAGTCAGGGCAGTGCCGGCCTGGACAGCGCCGGCCTGGGCAGCGCAGGTTGCTAGCAGGCTCCCAGAAGGGATACAAGCAGCTAAACAAGGGGATTCGCAGGGTGGCCAGAGGCCAACGCAATTAACGAGGCAGGCCAGGCGAGCAGGCAGGGGTGCCCGGCCTGCCAAAGGCTCAGTGCCGTGGGAATAAAAGGAGCCTAACTTACTTCACATCTGCCTCCTGGAATCTTTGGGGCTCGGGGCTGCGAAGGGAAAGAAGGCTGGGAACGGGGGATGGGTAAGGCTGTGGGGAGTGGGAACATGGGCAAAATAAGGGTGAGATGGGTTTGGGAAGGGCTGGGGGAACTGAAAGCATCCACAGACATTAGCTAGTTCAAGGACAACGTCAAGTGGCAGGTGGAGAAACCAGGGCCCAGAGAGTACCATGGTAATTGTGTGGCGAACCCAGCCCAGAACCATACAGTGTGAGTGTGAGTGTGTGTGTGTGTGTGTGTGTGTGTGTGTGTGTGCAGCCTCTTAAGTGGCTTCTCAAACCCTTTCTCCCAGGGTGGCGACAAGCCCCCAGACCTGGCTGGGTCCCCTCCCTTCTCGCATCCCAGGTTAAAGTCTTCCATGGAGACCAGAAAATGAGAAGGCCGGGCCAGGATAAGTCAAACCCACCAACCAGCCAGCCCAGCGTTGGAGCTCAGGGGCCAGGGCGGACCCCCTCATCCCAGAGCAGTCTGGCTTGTCTGAGCTGCTCACAGAGGTTGGAGGGTCCAGCCTAACAGTCTGGGGGGGCTCCCACCCAGCCCCCAGCTTTCCCCTACTCACTCAGAAGTGGCCAGGTCTCTCTTCAGCCTGTGGACAAGCAAGGGAGGGGATTAGCTATTATCCTCAAGCCCCTCCTGATTCCAGGCCAAGCAAGAGGTCCCCCATGCCTTTCCTGGCGGAGGACCCCACTCTCCAAGGGGTCTGTGTCCCCAGGCAAGCCACAAGGACATGGGGTGGCAGCCCCAGTGCCCTCCCTGGCCTCTGTCTCCCACACTCACCGTCCCTCCCGCCGGCAGCACATGATGTAGGCCAGCAGCACCGTGAGCAGCAGAGCCACCAGCAGTGGCACCAGGAGGGTGACCAGCGCATCAGTGAGGAAGTCTCGGGCCGTGGCCTCAGTGGGTGGGCAGAAGAACGGGTCATGCTCCAGGATCCCATCGCCGGGGGTGGGCACCTCGTCTGCAGGCTCCGGGACTGACTTATCCACCTGCTCAGAGAGCCCAGTTGGCTAGACACAAAGACCCCAGGGGGACAGGCAGGGGTGCCCCATGCAATGACAGGACTTCCTCCTGCTTGCCTCCCCCAGTTTGGGTGACCTAGCAGGGCAAGCCCAGGGATAAGAACCAAGAGGGAAAATCTGGGAGAGGCAGGTGCACGCTGTGGTTCGAGCACACCTCTAGGGTCCTATCTCTGGGGCGGTGGTGAGGGTCAACCGTGTGGATTCGATACTGTCTAGCACACAGCAAGTGCTCAGAGCTGTTGATTATCAGTCTTTGGCTGCACTGTTGGTCCATTCACAGGGACAGAGTGTTCCAGGGGTTCCAGCCTGGGGAGTCAGGGTCTCCAGGAACCCTAGATAATTCTGGTCGATAGCCCAAAGAGCAGTAGCGAGCATCTCTGGTTTCTAACTTGGAGGTGGAAACTATCTGGAAACGATCACAGGCAGATTTGCCAGGTGACATGTTAGAAGGAAGCAGACAGAGCTGTCCTCAAGAGTCTCCTGGTGGAGAAAGGGTTCTAGAACTGCCCCTACCGGAGTGAACGTGAACGTGAACGTTGTCCCTAACGTTGGGACTACTGGAGGCGGGAGATCCCTCTCCTGGATTATGGACTCTGTCGCCCTCTTGTGGGACGAGGTGGAACTTCAGAGCGCGCGCATTCGAGCATGGAGGGGGCGGGGACAGGGGCGGGGCGGGGGGCGGAGTGTATACTCAGAAACGGGAACAGAGAGATGGGGTGAGAGGAGGGGTAGCGGGGAGACTGTCCTGGGGGGCATGCCCCATCCCCATCCCCAGAGCCAGGGTCCCTCCTCACCAGGGACACATTGCACCAGTCTACGCGAAAGTGAGGTGCCAAGGTGTCGTAGCAGGACAGAAGCGGAGGCTGGCCCTGGGCACAGCGAGCGTGACTGTCGGGAGATGCCACCATCTTCAGGCAGGTGGAGAAGGGTGAGGCAGAGCCCACCTTGATGTAAACCCTGGGCCCAGACAGAAGCCACGGTTAACCAATTGGGGGTGTCACTGGGCACTGGAGATCCGGGGGTTGGCAGGGCCACCTTGAGACCTAGGTTACGGTGAGAGGACATAGCACCACGGCCTTCTAGGGGGCCTTACACTGCCAGGAATGTCTTTTGACAGCTGGATCTTTCACGTCCTCATGGGGTACCAGGGAGTGCAGAGTTTGGGGTCACTAAGGTTTGGGCCCGGGGAAGGCAAGAAGATGAAGAAGGGGTGGCTAGAAGGAAGTGGACAGTGATATGATACTAGGCGGTACACGTGGGTGTGGTGAGGGTGCACGAAGGTGCTCCACGCCCACCACCTGGAAGACGCAGCTGCCGCCTCCTCCAGGAGGCCCTCCTGGATTGCACCCTTACCCTTCCTTGCGACCCTCGATGGGAAGGGGGACGCGACCCCCACGGTCCAAGGCAGAAGTGATGTTGAGAAGCTGGAGCTCCCCTGACTCCCAGAGCCCTCTCAAGGCTGTGAGGAAGCGACTGGCGGGCGTCGAGGGCAGCACCTCCTCCACATCGTGGCTGCGGACTAGGAACTCCGCCTGGTAAGGCAGCAGGGGTCCTGGAAATGCCAGGTGGGCGCCCAGTTCTGCACGGATTCTTCCCAAGCCTCCTCCCCCTTACCCTCCCCCACCCGGCTCAAGCTCCTCCCAGGTCCCCGGACTTCTCCCTTCCTCTCTAAAATCCCACGCATCACAGGCCCCAAACGCCCTTCCCTGCCCTTCCCTTCCCGTGGCCTCAACAACTTGCCCGAGGCCCCACACACTGTCAGCAGAGCAGCCAATTATCTAACTCCAGCGCCCGCCTCCCACTACTGCCCCAAGTGTCCCCTTCACACCCCCTCCCTCCTCCCCAGGGAAATCCCCCCAGAGGGGTGTGGCGAGTGGGGGGCGGCAGGGGGATGTCTGGTGTTACCTTCTGGGTCCCCAATCAACAGCACCAGCCTCTGCCGGGTGGTGTCAAAGGTGTCCCGATTGTAGGCTACGACCTGGCAGGGGAGGGGAGGGGGAAGAGGGCCGAGGGATGGGGTTAGGGGAGAAGACGCGTGGAGCGGCCAGAGCCGCCCTCCAATAAGAGGCATCTAAATTGTGTAAACGAACATGAACGCATGCCCACGTGGGACCCAGCCACTGGGGTCCCTGCTGGTACCTCGATGACCTGGCGCCCACGATCTTCTGGGGTGGGGGTGCCGTAGAGGAAGCCAGGGTGGTGGGGGCTGCGCTGGGTGTAGCGGAGCCACCGAGGCAGGTCTGGGTGTCCCTGGAGGTGGGCGTGGTAGGTGATAGGGACGGTGGGCGGGACATCTGGCGGAAGGGAGGAGATTGGAGAAACGACAGGAGCCTTCAGGAGACCAAGCCCCTGGCCAGTCACCAGCAGCCCACCCGCCGCCCTTGGGGCCCCTCTCACCGAAGTGCTCAGGCAGACTCGGGAAGGCTTCCTGGTTCAAGGTGTGTACAAAGACGCGGCCCACCAGAGGCTGAAGGGTGGTCTGCTGGGTGTCTGTGTCCCCCAGCCCTGCCAAGAAACCCGTGGGGACCCCACAACCCCAAACACACATGTCAGCCTTCCTCTAAGGCAGGGGATAAGCTGCTGGTGCCCCTATGAGACTGGAGAAGGGGGGTGGGTGCCTCCCAGGAAAGGACAGAGTGCAGCCCTGGCTGTGCCAAGTCCTAGAGCTTTGTTGGTTTGGGTCCATGGGAGCCCCCCTCCCCCACTCATTTTAGGCTTCCTTTGAGGAGTCACAGTCAGCGAGGGCTGCTATCTGACTGAGGGGTGTGAGTGGGGGTGGGGGGGGATGTGTGTTAAAGGCACTTGGAAGAGAACCCTTAAGAATGCTGAGCGTCTGGCAGGCTGGAGGGGAGGGGCAGAGGGAAGGAACTTTTGGAGGAGGTGGGTAGCCATTCTGGAACTCTCTCTCCTTTCCCCTAATACACAGGGGGAAGGGGGACCCACAGAGGCCAGGAAAAGCTGAGCAAATGAGATCCTGTGCCCCAGGGAGAGTATCTGCCCCAGCGGGTCCCCACACCCTCACTGGGCCCCCACACCCACGGCCAAATTTAGCCTGGGCCTAGAAAGAAGGCAGACCAGCCGGCCCATTAAAGGGCTGACAACGCCCCGGGCTTGGGCTTGTGCCGTCAGGCCCACCTGGGCCAAGGGTGCCCCACCCTTCAGAGCTCCCAGCCCCCCACTTCCCGGAGCCCTGTCCCCAGCCCCATTTCCCTGGACCTTCCACCAGACACAGCATTAACACCCCAAAGTCCTTCTGGCTCCTGACCCCAGACTCCTCCCCCAGGGGACCTCTGTACTTCCACCTCTTCACCCCTAAATCCTGTCCCTTCATCCTGGGCCTCCTCCCAGAAGGCCCCAACTTGCCCACAAGGAGAAGAATCCAGATTAGTGCTGCTGCCATGGCTGCCCTGGCCTGCCCGTTCCTGTGAGTGACAGAGACAGGAGCAGGGGGGAGGAGAGAGGGAGGAGGGAGGGAAGGGAGGGAAGGAGAGAGGAGGAACCACGGGGGAGGTGTCCCAGAGCAGCTGGCCCCAGCTTCTGCCAGTGGGTCCCTCCCCAACCCCACCCAGAGCAGGCGCTGAATCTGGGGTGGACATTCTTCCCATGACAAGGTCCTCCGATGATCCCCCCCACCCTGGGGGCCAGAGAGTGTTTTCTAAGCCACCAACCTGAATACCTCAGTCCCCCCTGAAAACACTAAGGGCTCCCCTTGCCCCGAGTCTCCGGCTATCAGTGGCTTTCAGACCCTGCCTGTACCTGGCCATCGTGTCCAGAATCCTCTCCTCTCTCCCCACCACCAATGACACACACACGACCCCAGGCTTCTGCGCAGCCTCACTCCACCCCCCCAATCCCCCATCCCTAACCCCCACCCCCAGACCAACATGCTCTCATAAGCCTCCTAAGTGCTTTGCACAAGCTTGGAGCTCCCTTTCTGCCCTCATCCAGGAGGCAAAACCGACTCACCAGCAAAGGACTCACCCTGAAGTCCCTCCTTCCGCTAGGCTGAGCTGGGTGTCCCCTCGGCCCCTGTGCAATCCTCGAGGGGTGGGCTAGAGTCTTATTATCTTCTTATCCCTGGACCTGGCACAGGCAGGTGTAGGGGACTAGGTGACAGCCTCCTTAATGGTACGCTTAATAGCTGGGGGCCCGTTCACCCAGCCCTTATCCCCAGACCAAGGACCCTCAGCGTGTACCCCAGGTCTGGGAAGACAGAGAGCCCCGGACAGGGACAGGGAGTGGAAGAGGTAGCGCAGGCGTGGATGCCTGCAGGCCTGGAGCAAATCCCACCTTGACCGCCGCTCAGCCAGAGACGGTGGCCTTGAAAAACTCAATAGCCCTCTCTAGGCTCTGTTCCCACCGCTACAGCCTGGCCAGAATAGTGCTTACTTCCCGAAGCCTCAGCATCAGGAACTCGGTGCCTACTTACAGAGCACCTGCTGTGTGCCAGGCACGAAGGAAGCCGAGATGGGCAGAACCCTGCCTCCCATGGAGCTTGCACGTCCCCTCCCCACCCACCCCCCTCACCCTCCTCGGGTAATGACAGGTAACCCCTGCCTGCTACTCCGCTCTGGGCTTTACACAGATTTCCGGACAGTAAGTCATTCCATTCCCCTAGCGGTTCCGTGAGGCCAGGGTTACTTTCATCCCCATTTCCAGATGAGACAAGTGAGGCAGGAGGGCTGCACGGCTTCCCCAAGGTCAATAGACCAGCTGGAGGCGCGTGAACCGCTTAGTCCAGTGTGGTCCACTGGACCCGGCTGATGTGCTTGCTGGTGGGGTGCCCCTCCCCTTCCTTCTAGCCTCTGCCCAAGGATCTCGGTCCAGGTGTGAAGGGGGCAGATGCCCTTCTCTTTGGGGGCTTCCTGGAGCAGGCAGACGGGGACTCTCCCTAGATGCCCTGAGGAGGAGGCAGAGAACCACAGGTGCCAGGGCTCCAACATTCTCGGTGTGGGGGTGAGCGTCCCTCCTGCGCCCTTAGATGAAGGGCACTGTCATCTCACCGCCATACCTAACACCCCAAGCAAGGACGCCTGGACCAGTTCCCGTGGGGATGGGGGGCGGGGTGTTGGCCTGCCCACGGGAATGACCAGTGAGCGCAGGATACTTAGTGCTCATCATTTTGCTCCCTCCCCACCTGACCATCCCACCCCTCCCTGGAGAGCCACCAAATTCCAGAGTCAGCGTCCACTCAGGCTCTCGGGCCAGGCAGGCACTGTCCCGGAATTACCTTGGCACCACTCTGCCTTCTCAGAGATGGGGGGCATGAGGGAGGAAGGTTCTGGAGACAGAGCGAGAGTCACAGGGCTCTGGGGGAGCAGGCAGAGGTGGCAGAGACTGGCCAGCAGCCCAGGCCTCAGCCCCTCCGTGGCTCCATGTGACTCGTCTGCTATATTTGGAGCCATTCATGCACACCCTCAGCTGTTTTGAGGTAGAAGTGCCCGAACCCAGTGCCGCCGGGCCCTCAGAGGCCAGCTTCCTTACAGATCCTTCTCCCCCCTCCTCCAAACCAGGGGAGCCAGGGACTGTGCCAGGAGCCAGGTGGAAGCCCCCCATGGCCCACCAGAGGACCTCTCCAACTCAGGGCTGTTTGGATTGCAATCTGCCTCTGTAACTCTCAACATCTGTGTTCATTGGGACCTGGGTGGGGAGGGGAGCAGGTACTGGGTCACAGCATCCTTCGACTTCTTAGTCTGCAAATGTTACATAAAACCAAAGCCTACAGGGGAGCCTGGGTGGCTCTGTCATTGGTTAAGCGTCCAGCTTCGGCTCAGGTCATGATCTCATGGTTCACGAGTTCGAGCCCCTTGTCGGGCTCTGTGCTGACAGCTCAGAGCCTGAAGCCTGCTTCGGATTCTGTGCCTCCCTCTCTCTCTGACCCTCCCCAGCTCATGCTCTCTCTCTCTTTCTCTCTCTCAAAAATAAGTAAACATTTAAAAAAATTAAACAACAAAAACAAAATGAAAGACTACAGAATAAAAGAATGAGCCTTCACCCGACTTCAACAGCAACTCGTGACCAGTCTTCTTCACATACACCGCACCTGACTCTCCCTCCTGTTTGATTTCCTCTGTCAACACTTTGGCATGTATCTCTGAAAGATAATGACTCTTTTCTAAACAATCACAATTGTTACACCTGGTGCCTTAGTATTCTTTAAAGTTAATAATAATTCCTTAAATCAGATCTATAGTGTTCAGATTTCCAGCTCTCAAAAATGTCTTTTTTTTTTTTTTTTACAATGCATTTGTTTGAACCAGGATCCAAATAAGGTACACGCACTGCAACTGATTCATGTGTCTCCTTTATATCTCTTTAAATTCATGGGTTTTCTATCCAATCCTCTCTCTCTCTCTCTCACTGTCTCTCTCTCTCTCTGTGTCTCTTTCCTTGAAGGAACCAGGTCATTTGTGGTGCAGTTTTCCAGTCTGGGTTTTGCTGATTGTATTTCTAGGGTGTTCTTTAACATGTCTCTCTGACCTCTGTACTTCCTGTAAATTGTATTTCCCGTACATTGTTATTTCCTGCAGATTGTGGTTGGATTGAGGGTCCTGATCAGGTGTGGGTTCTATTTTCTTTGGCAGGACCACTTCACAGGTGGTGGTATCGCTTCCATCCAGAAGCACGGGCAGCCGCTGGTGCTCTGTGCCTCGTCCATCAGCGCTTTCCCCCCTCCCCAACACGGTGATATTCACATTCAGTCACTCCTTCCTTTATTAGCTGGAATAATTCTAGGTACAGCAACTGCCCCTCACTCACTTCCTGTTTGGTTACTAAATGGTATAGCTCATATAGGAAAGATGGGATAAATACTTGATTCTGTTCTTATATTTGCCAGTTTTGAAATAATGAATTGATTCTCCAGCATCCCTTGAACTTCAGCCAGGTAGCTGTTTAAAAAAACATTAGTAGCATAATTATGATTTTCTGGCTTTAAACATATTTGATCTTCAGTCATCGTGACTAGTATCGCTCCTGACCCTCATATTGCCCCTTCATGAGCTCCCGATGTGGCTCCCTTCCATCTGGGGCGACCGATGGGTCAAGTCTCTGCATCTCAGTGTCGCAGATGCCCTCCACCCCTGTCTCCCCAGCTTTCTACCTGATGTCCGCCTGTAAGTGTCTCAGTTTAATTCCTCTGGTCCTTTGTCCCCGACTCTCCCCATCTCAGTGACTATTTCCTGAATGAATGAATGAATGAATGAATGCATCATCTCCCCAACTCTCAGTCTACTCTGTCTCTATGAACCTCTTGATTTCTGAAGGCCACATTTTCTTCATCTGTATCTGCAACGGGATTATTTGTTGTCACGAGGGACAAAGGATCATCATTGTGATCTGATTGTCGCATCTGCCTCCCAGACTCCACCCACGGCTTTCCTCCCCTCCTCTTCGCCGCCCCCAGCCAACAACAAAGGATGCGATCTGTCAGGCTGCCACGAGAGGGCGCGTTCGCGGCTGCAACCCGGACCTGCGCCTGCGCAATGTTGGGGCCGGGCCGAGCCGGGCCGAGTAGGGGCGGGGGGAGGGGTCGGTGCGGGGGGAGGGGCGAGAGCGCCCCGCCCCGGGTTGGGGATGCGCGTCACTCGTGTGTGTTGAGAGCTGCAGCTGGAGGAGGCGACGCAGGAGGAGGCCGACGGCCTCGAGCCTTACCTCGTCCTCCCCTTCCGGGTCCGGAGGATGTTCTTCCCAGCGGGGAGGAGAATCCGCGCGGAGGCAGGGGGCTGGACGCAATGCCGTCTTCCCCGCCATCCTCAGCGTTTGTATCCACCCTCTGACTTCCAAGGACATGTCCATATTTCCCCACGACATGGGGGGCACCAGTCTGAGGACCCGAGTGTACCCAGAATCCTCCCCTTTTTATCGTTGAACTTCAGCCCTCAAAGAGGTTCCTTGAAGCCTTGTGACCGCCCAGAGCAATCAATCAGGAGTCTGAGAATACCGGAGACCATCCCTGCCCAAACTTTTTAGCTTACAGGAGAAACAGAGAAGGGGAGGGTCAGTCAGAGGCCTCCGGGCACAGTGTTCCTCCCAGCTAGATCTGCGGACACTCCCTCGCTGTCAAGTGGGGGTAATAAGAATCAATGAGATAATGGAAGCCAAAGTGCTTTGTAAACTGTAAAGCTCTGGAGAAAGGGGTGAGGGGTCTTTCATTTATTTATAGCTGACAGTGCAAGACAATAGCTGCTCAGGGCCAGCCCACTGGCAAGGCCGGAGAGCTGGGAGAAGTCAGATTTAGAAGCTACCACTCTGTGATGGAAGGATTAGGAAAATAAAAGAAACGAAATCTCTGACATTTTTGGCAGATGGTATGATTATTTATACGGAACCTCCGAGAGATATCACAGGCATGTTCTGAGGGTTGTTAAGAGAGATCAGCAAGGTTGCTGGACCAAAAAAAATTAACATCCAA